GATGAGGGGACAGGTGGATAAATGAATGGCGATGGGCGAATGAGTGAGAAAACGCACCCGAGTAGCCGAGAATACCTCTCAAGCAACAATGAATGAGTGCACAGCTGATGTGATGAGTGGGGGGGGGGGATCGATCTGGAGGGCCCTTGTCACATCTTGCACTTTCCCGGCGCGCTTCCACCCCGCGCCCCGCCCCTTACCCTTCTCCGCAAACAACCGCCAAAGCCATCCGACCGAGCCTACGGGTGAAGGACGCCCCGAAGGACCCCGCGACCGCCTCACGTCACCGCCCGGCCCGTGACGTCCACGCCATTGACGTCACGCCGCCCTAGTTACTAGCAGCCGCCGCGTGTCACCATCAGCACACGACCTTTCGATGCCCTCCACGACCTACACCTGCATGGCGGGGTTATGCAGCCGCAGCGCCTCGGTGATCCATGGCCGCCCACACTCCGATCTCCAGCCGTTGTTAAGCCGCCTCCCCCCTCTCGGCTTCCTCAAAACGGCAACTCCCGCCCTTCCCACGCTCGCTCGCGAGGGAGGAACGGGCGGAGAGCATCGCCACTGGGTGTGACGACCGACCCTGCCGCTGCCGGGGGACTCGCTCCACCTTGCACTGAAGGATCGCCGCGGCTCGCAAAAAGACGCGCGACACAAAATTACTCTTCCACCCGAGGATGACAAACGCAATAACAGTAGAAAAACAAAACAAACTGACGCCGATCATTAAGAACAATGAAAAAGCCACCATTCCCCAGGCAGTCGCAGAGTCGCCTAAACACCGCAACAGGAAGGTGAGGCGAAGGTCGAATCTCCCCCGAGAAAACCCCGCAGTTTGATCCCTCCGTGCCCGACCCGTCATCCCCATCATTTCCCTTCGTCACCCTTAACACTTAAGCGCGAATGAATGGACGGCGACGAGGGTGAAGTATCAACACATGCCCCGCTCGCCGCCCCCCACCGTGCCCCTCCTCCCCCGCCTCCTCTTCTTCCTCCAACCGCCCCTCCCCCTCCTCCTCCTCCTCCACCTCTGCGCGGGCGGACCGACCGGCGAGCTCTCTAACGTTTGATCTCACGACAACACGTAACTAATAAAGCTAAAGGGCGGCGCAACGTGACTCGTAGCCGATGCGATGATTACCTCTTTGTGCGCGCGAGAGAGCGAGCGAAAGGGGGAGGAAAACGGCAGAGAGCGCCGCGGGCCCCACACTCGTGCAAAGATGTACATAATATAACTCAACAAACACATGTTCAGCTCTAAATACACATGTAAATGGACGCGCAATTATGTGTACTACATGGACCAATAAGTTCAGCCCCAACCCGAGGTCCTTCGCAGCCAAACAACCCTCAACCATCTCGACTGCCGAGGGTAGGCCGCGGCGGGCCAGGTCAAGGCAGGACAGGCCGCCAGGCGGGAAAGAAGGGAACAAGAGGGAGGGAAAGGGAGAGGGAGGAAGAAACATGATGGAGGGAAAGAAAGGGAGAGAGGAGAAAGGGAAAGAAAGGGAGAGGGAGAAAGGGAAAGAAAGGGGGAGAGGGAGAAAGGGAGAGGGGAGAGAGAGGGGGGAGGGGGAGGGAGGGGGAGGGGAGGGGAAGGGAGAGGGAGAGAGAGGGAGGGAGGGAGAGAAGAGAGAGAGAGAGAGAGAGAGAGAGAGAGAAGAGAGAGAGAGAGAGAGAGAGAGAGAGAGAGAGAGAGAGAGAGAAGAGAGAGAGAGAGAGAGAGAGAGAGGGGGGGGAGGGGGCAAACAGCCAGCCAGACTCGTGGTGGCGAGCGTGGGGGGAAGGGGGCAGCAGCAGCAGCAAGCGGGGAGAGTGAGGGGTGCTGGGGATCAATACGGGGGAGAGTCCAGGGACAGCACCCCCACCACCCACCCACCATCCCACCACCCACCAACACACAGGGACACTCACAGGAAGGTGGCGAATGGACTGTCGGAGATCCACGCAACACACACGCACACGCACAACAACGCAAAAAACACACACGCTCCCAGCCCTCGCCGAGCGAAACCCCTAACCGCTCTCCATCCCCATCCAAACCCGACCCGTCGTTAATGAGGCGGCGAAGATAAGGTCCAAGACGGTAATAATAATCAGTGTCCGCATCGCCCCTCGGTCAATAAAGCGTCGAGAGGAAATAAAGAACGTCGTCCCGGGCCTCCTCGGCGCGGGCGGCCAGGGAGCGAGGGGAACGGGCCGAGGGGAATGGAGGAGTAGTTATAAAGCCTAATGCGTGCGTAAAACTCTGCACTTTACAGCCCGCGGTGGTCGCACATGTTTCCGGTATCGTGATGCCTTTTCCCCCCCTCGTGTATTGCACGTGCATTGGTCGCTCACTCAATGCATCATATTGCACGCGCGAGGGATCTTCTTCCTCTCATTCATTTATTCTCATTTTTTTCACTCTCTCTCTCTCTCTCTCTCTCTCTCTCTCTCTCTCTCTCTCTCTCTCTCTCCTCTCCTCTCTCCTCTCTCTCTCTCTCTCTCTCTCTCTCTCTCACAGCAAACCAGACCTGAGGGAATCGCAGGCTACGGAACAGATTAGCCGGGTCCCGTTCGCCTAATCCTCGGTGCGGATTCTGTGGCCAAGCACGCCGCGCGCCGATTGGAGGAACGAAAGGACAAACAGCAACTTCTTCTTCTTTTTATTTATTTTTTTCTTTAAGATGGGGTTTAAATCTGATGGCGGAATGGGAACGGGAAGTGAAGCCACTCTTTCGACCGCTCCAGATGAATGACGACCTTACATCACACGTTCCGAAGAGGAATTTACGAAGGCGGAGGAAGATGAGGATGAGGAGCTGGGAGGAAGAGAGCGAAGTGGGATAAAGATGAGGAGGATGAATTGAAGGGAAGGGGAGGGGAGGGGAAGGGGAGGGGAGGATGGGAAGGAAGAGGGAAGGGGTGACAAGGAAGGGAAGGGAGAGGAGGAAGAGAAAGGGGGTGACGAAGTGGGGAAGAGAAGGAAGAGGAGAAGGAAAGAGGGGGGACGAGGGGAAGAGGAGGAGAGCGGAACAGGGGGAGAACAAAGAGGATGAAAAGGCGGAGAGGAAGCTAGGAAGAGGATAAGACGAATAAAAACTAATGATAGAAAAAGGAGAAAAGAGAGATAAGAATGAAGAAAACAACAACGGAGACGGCGAGACAAAGGACAGGAGAGAATGAGGGGGAACGGAACGAAAGGATAAAAAAAAAAAAAAAAAATCGAACGAAAGGAGAAAGACGAAGGTGGATGGATGAGAAAGAGCTAGTGTGGAGATTGCAGGGGGAATAGCAGCAGCAGCAGCAGCAGCAGGAAGACTGTCTGGCCATGTATCATACCTTCCTAGTTGAGTTATCAATCAATACTCCGCTCACAAGGTTCAAGGGACAAGAAAGCCTCGGTGCCACTTTGCTAAAACCTTCCGGCTAAACGTCGACAGGCATCAACACAGATAAAGGATCGCCTCTGCCGCATTTCCTCGGGTTTCATTATCATTCCCTTGCGAAGAGAGAAGAGGAGAGGAGAGGAGGGAGGAGAGAGGAGGAGGGAGGAGGGAGGGAGGAGGAGGAGGGGGAGCACACCGTGAAAGAAAAGGAGAGAGGAAAAGAGGGGAGGGAAAGAAGGGTAGGAGATAGAGAGGAATGGGAGTTGAGAGAATAACAGAGAGAAGAGAGAGATGAGAGGAGAGGACTTAATAGGGAGGTAGGATAAATGAAGAGTGGGAGATGAGTGAGGGGAAAAGAAAGGCGAAAAAAGAGCAGAAACAGAGGGGCGAGTGTGAGAGGAAAGACAGAGAGAGGAGAGAACGAGCGTGGGAGAAAAGAGGAGGAAGAGAGTAAGAGAGAGGAGGGAGGGCGAGGCGCGCATAAGCCAGCATAAGACGATCACGCAGGCGGGAGTGAATCCTTGCCGGACAGTTTATATCCTCCATCCTTCGTTCAAACATCTGACAAGAAGCTGGGGCAGGGAGGGAGGGGTGAGGAGCGAATGCCGGACTGACGATGATGATATCTAACAGTGAAGACCGAAAAAAGCGAAACAGAGAGAAGGAATGGGGTATGATGAATCGGAAGATATGTTCTTGCTGTAAGACACACGGGTCAGGGATCTCTCTTCCACCCTTTCTTTTACTCCTCAAATTTTGGGGTCTCTTTCTGAAGCCAGGAGCGAGGGAGGGGAGGGAAAGGGAAGGATAAACACAGATAAGCAAGGGCGCAACAGTGCTACTGACCAGCTCGTGCAATTCCTAAGATGTGATACGTCCGCGTCCGCAGATCGGCGCAATTCTCCCCTCCGCTCTTCCAACCACCACAAATAATCCCAATCGAGAGTAAAACAAAGAGACAAAGAAAGAAGAAGCATCCCTTGTCCTCCTCCTGCTCCCCCCCCCCAGAGAGCGCCTCCCTGACCCAGCGTTGCCACCCGTCCCTTCACTTCAGCGGTGCCAATGTCAAGAATTCCCGGCGAGGCGGATCATAACCCCCTGCATCAGTGCACGCAGTTGCCAACCACCAGCTGGGATTGGGTGGATGGCGAGGGCTCGGGGAGGGGAGGGGGGAGGTGCAATAGACAAACGAGAAGAAAACAAGTGAACAAAGAAGGGTGGCTGTGACTACGTGATTGCGGGAATAGAGTGGCCTATAGTTATAACCCCTGCTAAGTATTCATGGCCAATTATTATCAAATCCAAATGTTATGACGTGGGCATAATGCCATCAACTGGCGCAAACTCGAGCTACATTAACACGAAATTGAACATTCCTTCGCGCCATTGTCATTCGTCATGCCCCTCTTCTAAATGTCAAAAAAGTTGGAATCGTAAAACCGACGATGCAAAATACAAGCGGGGAAAAAAAGACTTCAAAGCCAAAGACAAGGGGAAACCGGAAAGAACTAAGGCGGGCAGGCCAGCCATGACACAAAACCAGAACCTACTGGGAAGACCCCCGCTAGGAGCCCCCCCGCCGCCCCTGACCCACCCGGACCCAGGAAGAAGGCACCAAGACGCGTGTAC